CTGTCTCTCTTCAAAATAGATGCAAAAATACTAAAAAAAAGTGTTAGCAAATGTAAGCCAGGGAAATCTAAAGCTCATAATTCATCATGAGCAAGGTGACTTTAGTCCAGAAGTACAATGTGATTTCTTCAGTAAAAAGGAAAAAAAAATGATTATCTCAGTAAGTGCAGAAAAAGCATTTAATAAAATTCAAAATCTGTGATGTAAAATATTCTTAACAGATGAAGAATATATCTTCCTTAATCAGATAAAAGGTATTTTCAAAAGTCCAGGCTTTCCAATGATTTTAGGGATGACACAAAAACATTATTCTTACTAGTCTACTCAGCATCATACTGAAGATTCTAGTCAGTAATAAGAAAAAGCAGTAAAATATAGGAGAAGTTGAAAGAAATAAATAAAAATTATTATTTATTTCTAGATATTATTTTTTTGTCTAGAAAAACCCCAATCTACAGATAAACTATTAAAATTATAACTGAATTGTGAGAGTTTGTATTAAGATTTAATACATAGAAATTTATTGTATTTTTAATATACTAGAAACAGACAGAAAAAAGTTTAAAGTTACCATTTGTAATATAAAAAATCAAATATATAGGAATAATTCAAATTAAAGATATGTAAGGTGCTTTCATAGAAAATTATAAAACATTGTTAAGAGAAGTTAAAGAATACCTGAATAAATGAAGGGAGATACTATATTCATGGATTGGAGAGCTCAGTATTGTACAGATATCAGTTCCTTCTAATTTTATTTATAGATTTAATGCAATCTCAGACAAACTCCCTGAAGCTTTTTTTTTTTTTTTTTTTTTGAGTTGGAGTCTCACTCTGTCACCCAGACTGGAGTGCAGTGGCTGCTCCCAGCCACCGCAGCCTCAACCTGCTGGACTCTGGCGATCCTTCCGCCTCTGCCTTCCAAGTAGCTGGAACTACAGGCGTGCGCTACCACACCCGGCTAATTTTCGATTTATTGTAGAGATGTGGTCTCACCAAGTTGCCTGGGTGGGTCTCGAACCCGAGGGCTCAGTCAGTCCACTCACCTCGGCCTCCCAAAGCGCTGGGATTACAGGCTGAGCCACCCAGCCCAGCCCAGAAGCTTTTATAAAAATGAAAATTGGCAAGCCAATTCTGAAATTTATATAGAAATATCATGAACCAAAAATAGCCTACACCAAAGTGAAGAAGAACGGAGGCAGAGGATTGACTACCAAATCTTACATTAAAACTACAATAATTCAGATAGTTGAATTGGTGTAAGGTTAGATAAATGGTAGAGATGTGAGGATCAAGAAACAAACACATATTTGGAAACTTGATCTATTATTGGAAAGGTGGCTTTTGGAGTAGGGTGTGAGGGCTAGATCAACTGGATATTCATATAGGAAAACACAGTCTTGACTTCTATCTCACATTATACAGAAACTAATTCCAGTTGAGTCGTATTTCTGAATGTGAAAGATAAGCCAATCAAGTTTCAGGAGTGAGAACATTATGAATGAAAGAGATCTTTATGAATGTGGAATGGGGAACATTCCAAAAGTGCTAACCATAGAGAGTAAGATTGATAATGTGGGTTACATCCACATTAGAATTTTTCTTCCTTGAAAAACTTCATTAGGAATGGAAGGACATATTTACAGTACATACACTCATCAAAGTGGTTGTATCCAAAATATATAGACAGTTTCTACAAATATATAAAATTTCTACAAATATATGAAATTTATATCAAAATTATTTCTAAAATCATTTCTAAATACCCTTAAAAAAAGAACAAAAGGTATGAATATGCACTTCACAAAAGAAGATATCCAAGTGGATAATTAGCATGAAAGGAGAGGTAACCTTCCTTAGTCATCGTGGAAGTGCAAATTAAAATAACAATGCTCACTCAAAAGAACAGCTAAAATTAAAACGATTGATCTTTTTAATTTTTGACAAGTTTGTGGATCACCTACAGTTCTCATATATTGCTGATAGGTTGGTAAATTGCTACAATGACTTTTTAAAATGTACAGTATCTATAAACACTAAGTAAGCATACCAATAGTTTATAATCTAGCAATTCTACTCTTTTTTTCTTTCTTTCTTTTTTTTTTTTTTTGAGTTGGAGTCTCACTCTGTTGCCCAGGCTGGAGTGCAATGGAACACTCACAGCCACTGCAGCCTCCACCTGCTGGGCTCAGGCAATCCTTCTGCCTCAGCCTTCCAAGTAGCTGGAACTACAGGTGTGTACTACCACGCCCAGCTAATTTTTTTGATTAATTGCAGAGATGAGGTTTCACCAAGTTACCTAGACTGGTCTCAAACCCCATGGACTCAGGCAGTCCTCTCACCTCAGCCTTCCAAAGTGTTGGGATTGCAGACTTGAGCCACCTTTCCTGGCCTGCAGTTCTACTCTCACCTGCAGAAATTCATTTTTATATATGTTCACTAAAAAGTGTGTGAGAGAATGTTCATGGCAGCATTAATTAAAATACCTAAAAGTGGAAATAAGTCAATTGTATATCAACTTATTGTATTCTTGTTGAAACAAGTAGGATGGACAGATTAAACTAAGGTAAAATTTCTACAACAGACTACTACTCAGCAATAAAAATGAATCAACTGTTGCTGCGTGCAGTAACATGGATGCATTTCACAAATAAAATGTTAAGCAAAAGGAAGTAGACTCAAGGTAATACTGTATAATTCCATTTATGTAAAATTCAAAAACAGGAAAAACTAATATATGGTGTTAGAAGTAACGATAATGATGTTTGGAGAGGTGCAGTTTGGGGAGCCATGTGAGATTTTAATATTTGGTTTCATGATCTAGGTGGTATTTATATGTTCACTTTGTGATGATTCATAAAACAGTGCTTATGTGTCTTCACACTCCTCTGTGTGTTTCTTTAAGAATTTTATTTCAAATAATCATTATTTTGTGTTTTTTTTTTTACTAATACATGATATATTCATATTAAGCTATAAATGTAAATGATTGGCATTAATTGAAAAAAGTGCTCATGTGAATTGACGAGCTTAAAATTATTTCTAACATTATGAATATTGTAAATAATAGTTATAAAGATTGCCATAATATATATTTTCAAATAATAACCTATTTACATTTCTGTTTTGCAAAGTTTTCAGAAGTTAATAATTTTTGGAATGGAGAATTAGGAAGACTGGCTTATTTTAGCTAGATGTTTCCAGTAAAATTTGACTTTATGTGTTTTTCAGTTGATGTACACATAAACCTAGCAAGTACATTAAACTGATAGATAACACTGAAACTGTACTGTGTGGAGACATTTTAAATCCTTTGAAAATATTAAAGTTAATAAATATAATTTTAAATTATATTTGTATTCTGGTTTTATGACATGAAAGTATTCTTTGAAGTTGCTCCAGTAATGCATTTTGGATTATACACACACTTGAATAATGATATGGGAAGTTTCTTTACAACTGCCTGATTTCAATTCTTGGTCTCTATTAAAAAATTTTTTTAAATAAAATTCCTCTTGAGAGAAAGGAAAAAATATGAAAATAACATTCCTCTTGCTTTCAGTTAACAATTTTTTATGAAATAGCTTATTTTCTTTGTTGGCACACTGTTAGAGAATTTACAATATATGATAGAATTAAATTATATGGCTATTCTAAAATCCATATTAAATTAAGCTTTTTTATTAGAATATTTTAATTTAAAATATCCCTTTGCTTTTTTTTTGTTTAATTAAAAAGACCTCAAATGGGTATTGTTATTCACCAACGGTGTTTCCTGTTGTTTTCGCTGATTCTACTTTGCCCCTTTGTATATGTTTATGTGTGTCTATAGCATGTACTATTATTTTAAAATAGCATCAATAGATATAATAGCATCAATAGATATAAAAGAAATAACCTTTTAAAATAAACCTAGCCTAGAAAATAAGTTAATAAAATAATTTAACTTTTTAACTATGTGTCTCTAATAATAGACCCTGAATAATACATGAAAGAGGAATTTCAGTTGTTTGGGCCTGGAAGTATATGTTGGTATAAAGCTTCTAGCTTGATAATTTCATCATTTACTTAGCCACAAATCCAACAGCCTATTTATATCACTCTGGACTTAATCTACTCACTGACTAGTTTTTACTATCTGCCTCATCTTCTGCCTTTCTCTGCTTTGCTCCTCCCCAGCTACCATTATGGCCTTCTTGCTGTTTCCCAAGCATACCACGCACATTTCTGTCTCAGTACTTTTTCTTGTACTGCTTCCCAGACCTTCATTTCTCCATATCCTCTTTAGACTCCCTTCCTCAGTACATTAAAGTCTTTGTTTAAATATCTCTCAGATACATTCTCTCACTCCTCTCTGTATAATTTTTATTCTCTATTTTCTTACTCCCTGCTTTTTTTTTTTTTTTTTAGCATTTACTAGTATCTGATATTGTTTTATTTATGTTTTATACATTTCTCAGTAAGATAAGCTCCATGAGGGCAGAGACTTCATTGGTGTTTTAGGGCTGTGTTTCCAGCACCCAGACCTATGACAGATACATAATAGGCACTGTATAAATATTTATAGTTTGAATGAATGGATGGATGAATGAAATATAATGAGTAGTATCAGTCTTCATGGTTCACCTCTCAGTCAACTCTGCAGAATTCATTTATTTATTCTCTAAACATATGTAAGATTGTTGTTAGTTCTAGCATGGCCCTCTTTATATGAATTGATAAATTTTAAATAAGCTCTATTATTGTACAACAGATATCCAAACTTTTATTATCCTTTAGAGGAAGACAAAAAGGGAAAGGAAGGAAATAATATATGTGGTATTTAACTTTGTCTTTTATGAAATAATGGCTAAAAATAATCTTCATTACAAATTGTCTTTGATAATTTAAAAATATGGTAGTAACTGTTCAAGTATTACTTAAAATTATATATTTCTATTGGTATAGTTTGTTTTCCTATTTATATCTGTTTCTACCCCAACTACCCTATCTTTTTTAAGAATCCAACTCAAGTCGGAACAGCTCTTCAGGTTTTCCATAATCTCGGAATTTTGAAGGATACTATTACCAGTGTCGTGGATGGATATTATACTACTTTAGAAGAAAATATCAACAGCACATTAGATATCAAAGTTTTGACTCAACCTTCCCAGTCAGCTGTGAGAGGTATGGATATGGTTTATATTTAGTTTCTTTTTTTATTTATAACTGAGAAATCCTTTGAATAGTATGTGAAACACTCATGTTTCAAAGCAATCTAATGACTCATTTTTTTTTTTAGTAGATAGAAAATGAGAGAAGAAATTATGTTTCAGAATTTATTTATAACTTTTTTGTCTAATCAGTGAGTTGAACTGGCCAATTGGTATATTCAGAACTTCTAGATAAAGATCTATAAACTGTGGCATCATTTAGTTGAGAGGAAACAGATGCAAAAAAAGAAGTAAAAAGAAAACCAACATATTTTTCTTCTAAAATACTTATCCTCACATGTACTTCTTATTAAGACATAAAATTTTTTTTAAGGAATACCGTCTCTACCATAGCTTTCTGAACTTTTCTCTATGATAATTTTGGTACTCAGGAAAAATATAATGGCTAACTGGGAATAGGAACTGATAAAACCTTTGGGAACATTTCAACAGTAGCAAAGTCTAAAGAAAACTACTAAAGGAAAGCAGTTCAAGGTGGGGAGGAGTTGCCTATATAAGCAGTCTGCAACCCTTTGCCAACATGTACCTGATGATGACATTTACATGTGTAACATACTTCTCTATAAAAGAAGACAGAAAAGACCACGTTATGTGATCCTTTCACTTACTCTCTGCAACTCTGTCTCTTCATTTCTTCCCTTATATTCATTCTCCTTTCCTGTTAGTGTGGATGAATGGTTCCTTCTCCTAGTAAAGAGTAAGGACTACGATGGCGTTAGATCCCATCACTCTGAGGTATTGCTTCAGCAGATGCTTTCCCTCCACCACTTCATCAGTGTTTCTTTTCTTACATCTCTTTCCCATCGCCTACAATTCTGTTGTTGTATCTCCTTTTGCTTAAAAACAGTCAAACAAATCTTCATTTCTTTCTTCAGCCTGTTTTATTTCTTCAGTCTACAAAAAAAATTCCCCAAAATGCTATCTATACTTATTGTTTACAGTTTTTCTCTTCCCATTTTTTTTCTACTGAAGGCACTCTAATCATCACAGAATTATCCTAAAGAATAAATGTAATAACTCGCATAGAATTAATAACAATTCCTGATACCTGGCTAATAGTAAAAAAAAAATGTAGCCATCTATTATTTATATATTTGCTATATAAATGTGATCTTAAGTAATACTGAATATATGTAACTCACAAATAAATTTTGCACTAGATGAAATGAGATAAAAGAATCTTAGCTCTTAAAGAGATTTTTAAAGGTTAGCCCTAGACTCTGAATAGGTCTATATTGAGACTATTCCAGAAGGAGATCTTTGAAAAGAAATTGCCAAAGGAGATTTTGCTCTCAGCTTTTCCCGGCAATTATTCTCAGAAAGTTTGATCTAATGTTTAAATTTCCAGGAACAGTTTAATCTCATTCCCTCTTGTGTTGTCAAGAATAGGAAAAAAAATGAAAGTAATTATTCACATGCTGTCAATCCTAATGTATGCCTCTTTTGTTGAAAGAATAAAGAGTTTTAAAACTGCCTTATTACCATCTGTTGAGAAGTGGATATCGTGATTTAATGCAGAAACCTTAAGCATCAATTTTTTATTTTTTTAAAAATAATAATAATCACTATTATTATTATTTTTTATTTTTTGAGTTGGAGTTTCACTCTGTCGCTCAGGCTGGAATACAGTGGCATGCTTATGGCCACTGCAGCCTCAAACTGCTGGGCTCAGGCGATCCTTCCACCTCAGCCTTCCGAGTAGCTGGAACCACAGGCTCGTGCCACCATGCCCAGCTAATTTTTTGATTTATTGTAGAGATGAGGTCTCACCAAGTTGCCCAGCCTATCTCGAAACCCTGGACTCAAGCAATCTTGTCACCTCTGCCTCCTTAAGTGCTGAAGTTACAGGCATGAGCCGCTGCACCCAGCATTGTTATTTTTTTTTAATGTTACATAGGTGTTATTAATATTAACTTTCTGATCTTACTGTTATATTGAGGTTTTGTAGGAGAATGTCCTTGTTTGATAGAAATATACATTAAAGTATTCAAGGGTGATGGGACATCATGTTAATAACTTATTCACAAAGGGTTTGAGGAAAATTATTTTTATTATACATACAAATAGTCTGTAAGTTTAAGATTATTTCAAAATTTAAAAAAGATAGCAATAGAATTTAAAGGAAAACATTTTACCTTGGCTATATAAAAAGGCCTGTAATTCAACAAGAAAAAGATAAACAACTGAAAAAATGAATAAAAAATATGACTAGGCAATTCACAGAAGAACACATCCAATAAACATATGTAGAGATGTCCAACCTCCTTTTGGAGAATAAACTAGTTATTAGGGAAATACAAATTAAACAAGATACAGTTTCTTGTTTAATCATCAGATTGGCAAAATCTAAAACAGAACTAACTGTTGGACAAGAAAAGAAGCTCTTGGACAGTGCAGTAGGAGAATAGAATGGTTTAGCTACTTTACTCAGTTTTATCTCTAAGGTTAAATGTGTATACACCAGGGGTCCTCAAACTATGGCCCGCGGACCACATGCGGCCCGCCGAGGACATTTATCCGGCCCACCGGGTGTTTTTGCCGCCGCTGCCTGTCCTGCCTAGCAGCCGACTGGTCCGGCCCGCAGTCACACTCTCTGACCCCCCTCCTTCTCTCTGTCTCTCGACTCCTCCTCTTAGTCTGGGGCAGGGGTAAGTTTGTTGATTTAACTTTACTTGTTCTTCATTTTAAATATTGTATTTGTTCCCGTTTTGTTTTTTCACTTCAAAATAAGATATGTGCAGTGTGCATAGGAATTTGTTCATAGTTTTTTTTTAAACTATAGTCCGCCCCTCCAATAGTCTGAGGGACAGTGAACTGGCCCCCTGTTTTAAAAGTTTGAGGACCCCTGATATACACCTTTGTGATCTTATACTTTCTCTTACAAGAATATGCTCTAGAGAAACTGGTACATATGTATAAGAATTTTTATTGCATTATTGTTTATAATAATGAACTAGTGAAAACAAACTTTCCTTTGATGGAAAACTGGATAAAATAGTTTATTAAGGGGATTACTACAGAGCATTTAATTAATAATTTTATTAATATAGATAATTTTTCAAAAGCAGTACATGAAAAAGTTGCAGAGAGATATGTACAGTATAATGCAATTAAAGCCTAAGAACATGACGGGCTATATAATAAATTGTTTTGCATATGCACATGTGTAGTAAAAGTATAAAAACATGCATTGGCCGGGCTCGGTGGCTCAGCCTGTAATCCCATGCCTTTGGGAGGCTGAGGTGAGTGGATTGCCTGAGCCCACGGGTTCGAGACCCACCTGGGCAGCGAGACCTCATCTCTACAATAAATCAAAAAATCACCCGGGCGTGGTAGCACATGCCTGTAATTCCGGCTACTCGGAAGGCTGAGGCGGAAGGATCGCCGGAGCCCAGCAGGTCCAGGCTGCGGTGGCCAGGAGCGGCCACTGCACTCCAGTCTGGGTGACAGAGTGAGACTCCAACTCAAAAAAACAAAAATAAAAACATGCATTGGAATGATAATCAACAAATTCAAGATATCAGTGCTGGGCATGGTGGCGTATGCCTGTAATGCCAGCTCCTTGGGAAGCAGGAGAATCTCTTGAACCTAGAAGTTCAACTCCAACTGAGGCAACATAGCGAGAATCCATCTCTTAAAAAAAAAAGATAACTATTAACTCTGAAAAGAGAGCAAGGGAAATGGGACCAGGAGAGGAAGGAATCAAGAAACTTTACTTTATTCAGTGGTGTATTTCTTTAGTTTGATGACCGGTATTTATAACACTATTGTGTATACTCTTTTGTATACCTGAAATAATTAACAATAAAACATAAATATTGTATAAGGTCAAACAGTGGAGAATGATGACGATGAATGAATGTAGACAAAAATGGAATATCCAAATTTCATCATCCAGAAACTAGTTGTTACTATACAGTAAACATTAGTCTGTACATTTCTCTAAGCATTTTATGTTGTAGAAAAATAACCGGATAGGCATAAATGGAATTTTAAAACATATGCTTTAAAATGGTTTTATTATAAAATAAAACTCAGATATAGAAAACATAAGGAAGACATGTGGCTTAATGAATTATTATGAAGTGAACACCACCTAGGCCACCTTACCGGCCATCCCAGAAACCTTTTTATATGTTCTGTACTAATCATAATCCCTCCCTCTGTCATATGTTACCAGTATTCTTACTTTTATATTAATCACTTCCTGTGTTTTTATAGTTTTATCAAAATCCATGTATGAATTTGAGTACTGCAGTTTACCCTTGCTCATTTTAGAGGTGTACATTTAAAAATAAAAAGTATTTTACTTTAGTTAAACAAAATAATCAGAAATTTTATGTGAAATTGAAGGGCTTAATGAATTTCAGATTAATACTTCTTCACAAGAAATATTAGATCCTAAACAATACCTCTAAATTTAAATATAATGACTAAAAGTTTATGAAAAACATTAAGAAATTGAAATAATTATTTTTTTCTTTTTTTTTGAGCCAGAGTCTCACTCTGTGGCTGAGGCTGAAGTGCAGGAGTGTGATCATGGCTCACCACAGCCTTGACCTCCTGGGCTCAGCCAGGCAATTCTTCTACCCCAGCCTCCTAAGTAGTGGAGACTATAGATGTGCATTACCAAGCTCTGCTAATTTTTTGATTTTTGTTGTTGTTGTTGTTGTACAAAGTCTTGCTGTGTTGCCCAGGCTGGTCTCAAACTCCTGGGCTTCAAGCAATCCTCCTGCCTCAGCCTCCCAAAGTGCTGGGATTAAAGTGTAAGCCACTGTGCCCAGCCTGAAATTATTCTTTACATTTCAATCTTAAACTAAATCTGTTGTCTCTTTGCTACTAAATGTTGGGAATGGGCACGCTTAAACTTCTTCTGACCTCTTTTTCCCTCTTTTACCTGTTAATGATATTTTTTATGATCAGTGTTTTTGATGTTTTATTTGATTTTTAAAT